GCACGTGTTTATGGAGGCCCTGACCAAGTTCTCCACGTCCCTTAAGGGCCCACTGAAACATCATCAAATGCACCTGTCTGCAGGCTTCCAGAATGACAGAATTGCAACAGAGAACACAATCTTAATACTTAAGGAGGCATGCCTAATTACAGAGTGCCCTCTGCTGTGCCTGTGAGGAGGGGGAAACCCAGATCCCTGTCTTCACAGTTCCCTTGACAGAGGCCGTTCACGTTAAGGGAGGCCAGAAAGCATCTAGCCACCACTGTTCTTATGATGGCCTTGTGTTTTCAATAAAAACCTACATGCAGGAAGAAAAAGAATACAGCAGTTTTACTTTCCAAATGCTCAAAATCCATTTAATTATAAAAATAACATGATTTTAAGTAATTTTTTTTTAGATTGTGGATTTGAAAGAAAAAAAATAACTTGCCCTTGGAATAAAACTTTGACTTAAAGACAAGAAATGATGCTAGCCTACGTGCTGGCACACCTGCCATGTGAGTCCTGGCCAGGGTTCCCCGCCCCCTCAGCGGTGAGCAGTCCTCATCACACTTGTCCTCTGACTAGGCAACAAGGAAGTACCTGGAACCGCCTGTTTCCTCTTAGCAGATGACTCCTTGCTTTTCACAACAGACTATTATAAAATTGGTATGATATTTTAAGAACTAGCTGATTAAACACACCAACTTGTTTGCTGGAGTGTTGGATGAACAACCCATTACACCTGGAGCCTGGGCCCCACTTTCTTCCAGGTGCAGGATAAGATGCTCATTTTATTGTGACATGCCTATGGGTATGGTATGTGTCAGGACCACTTCTCTCTCTTCCCTTTGATTCTTTTAACTGAGCCAGGCCCACTGCTAGGAACTCAGCTGCTGGAGTTCTTGCAGAAGGAGGGAGAAATCAGGCTGTCTGTTTGCTACAGAGACCTAGACTCTTAGTGCCTGAATTCTCAAGACCCAAGACTGTATGTAGAATCTCAGCCAGGTAACTCACACTAGCATTCTGTGGTTGAGGCTTCTTTAAGGGCAGACAAAATGTTAGTTTTTGATGTTTTTTATATAAACACAATTTTAAAGTGTATTGGTTTTCTTTTTAAAGATTCACTGCTCTGACCATGGGGGTCATTCATTACTTTATTCTGGAGGTATTTATTGAGTTGTACAATATGCAAAGTACCTTGCTACAAAATTTTTTCCCATCAGGCCAGATGGGAAAAGGCCAGAAACTGTCTGATTTTCTGCTCTCTTCTCAAGGCTTAGACTATTTCCTGGCATATAGTAGAATCCTAACACATTTTTCAATGAATGAATGAATGACACACTATAGAAAATTCATATTTACATTTTTCCCCCACCAGAAGTTCATATTGTGATAAAAATCAGTATAAGACCATTCCCTTTGACAATCTCTATCTGCCAACTAATTCTTTCTTGAAGCTAGAATCAGATAGGCCCTATAGGATTGACACAGCTTCACAGCAAATATGTTAATTAACCACCAGATGTTGACTAGATGCCTACTTTGTGAAATTCCCCCTTCTAGACAATTGGGCCATTTGAGGAAGTAAATGAATGAGATAGTTTCTGTTTTCAAAGAATTTCTAAACAGACATAAAGTTAAGTATATAATGCAGTCCTGAGGCCAAGGAGGTGGTTGACATAAAGGAGAACTAAAAGAGACCAGAAGAAGAAGGCTGAGTGTTTGCAGAAGATGGAAGACTATAATTGGGTCGTCAAGCCTAGGTGAAGAATGGAAAAAAAGGCCTAACAAGGTGTGTGTGTGTGTGTGTGTGTGTGTGTGTGTGTGTGTTGGGAGGTGAGGGAGAATGGCATGGACAGAGTCTGGAAGAAGGTATTGCATACAAGGTACGCCAAGAGTTAATTTTGTTCAGTGCAATTTGAGTCAATTGAATAAATATTTATTGAATGTATACTGCGTGCCTGGCATTGTGAAAGGTGCTAGGTATACAATGGCTAACAAGACTGATATGGTCCCTGGGTCATTGGCTAGTGGGAGATACGGACAAGTAAACAGACAATGACAATATGTCTGATAAGTGCTATGATAGGGAAAATTCCAGGTGCTATGAGAAGGATGCAGAATGGACTCAACCCAGATATGGGGGGTCAGGAAAACTTCCTGGAAGAAGGGATATCAAGCTGAGCCCTGAAGCCAAGGCAGACATTAGTGAGGTGGAACTGTGCAGGTGGGGTATACAGCACTTACCCTAGACGTGCAAATGTGAAGGGCCATGGGAGTCTGAGTTTGTTGGAACAGGGAAAGGAGTGCTGGGGAAGAGGCCAGGGATGGAACCAGTGGCCAGATTTTGCACCTCTTGTACAGTGCTTCAAGGAGTTTGGACTTATCCTAAGAACAGTGGTAACTGAGGAATTTTAAGCAAGAGAATGAAACAAACAGATTTGCATTTTAGGTCAATTACTCTTTGCCATGTGAGATGGCCCTGAGAGGAGAAACAGGTGATAAGAACAAAAGGGTAATATGGAGCCAGATTCCTGAAGCTTTAGCCCTAATACAGTACAAGAACTAAATGAATATTCTGTGAATGAATGAATGAAATGATCACCCAATCAATCAATCAATCATTCAGTGTAGGAATGAAAATATGAGGCAGAGGATCAAGTTGTCTGTGTGTACATTAAGGGTCAGAGTGAAAGCTGATTGTAACACTGGTGTCTCTTCAGGCAAATGTTAACATCTCATCAGGCAAATGTTAACAGTTGATAACAGAGTGTAGTGGAATAGGGTGGAAACAGCTTCAATGTTGGAGTCAGAAGAGTAAGGTCTGAGCCCTTGTTTTGACATTTATTAATTTTGAGACCATGCCTTCATTTCTCTGACCCTCAGGTTCTACATCTATTATGTCTACGTTTTATAAGCAACTGCGCAGCCATATAAAATGGGAATGGTTATCACAGCTGCGTATATTTTTGATTTCAGCTGGTGTGTAGGTGCTGTGGCAGGGTTGGTGGCCCCATGGTATTTCTAAATCGTCCACTGTAAAAAGCAGTTAGTACAACCCACATGACAGTGGAGTCATGGTTTAGTTGACAAGGAATTTATAAATCATGTAGCCAGTATTGCTCAAACTTTGGACAGGTAACTCTCTAACTTGTCCACTGGAGACCCTGGCGGAGAGGTTGGGAGAAGGGTAAGAAGGGTCCATCTCCTGCTGCTGTCCCCAAGGAGAACACTGAGGGCAGAAAAACACAGAAACAAATGACAGAGTTGAAGGCCACAGGGGCTTGGAGCACACACACAGGTGGTTAGGGACACAGTCTAGACTAGAACTCAGCTCCCTGAAGTTCAATGCTCTTTTCACATCTCCACCTTGTCAAATTAATTACGTCAATCAAGATCTTAGAAAGGATAACTAATGTAAGATCCAAGCTCAGAGGTCTTCTCACAATTCTGTGGCTGCAGCTAAGAGCCAGGGACAGATGACCTCGTAGAACGAGAGGGCAAAGTGGGAATCAGGGCTGCAGGAGTGAGGTGTCCTCCTGGATCTGGGTGTTTGGAAAGGAGAAGCCTTCCTGAAGAAGGGGGGTGGGGCTGTGTCACTGGTGGCAGAGAAGAGCAGGGCCAATTATAATGTGCCTGGATCCAGACACGTTCAACCAAAGAATAAAGGAAGAGGAGAAAAAGCAGAAGGTAAGGAACGGCTCTGGGAGAAGGTTCTGGAAGAAGTGCTAGTGAACAAACTCATCAAAAAGCACTTTGTGCCAGGCAGTTTCAGGAAACAAGGCAGACCCGAGCTCCTGGTACCCTCAGGAGATGAAAGAGAACAGGCAGAAAGGACTGTGCTTTGTGAGATGCTTCAGACACAAGCTCCTCCTCCCAGCATTTTTCATAGCATGCCCCTCCCCTCCCCCCAACACACGCTTACACCCTCTGGCCCATTCTAGGCTGGGCTTTGCTTCTTTTCTGCAGAAGAGTTTGACACCAGGGCAATGAATTGAAGACATTTATTAAAACAACAGCTTCCTTACAATGTAATTCTTAGTTTATGGCCTTGAGTCCCATATCTCAAAATCATCCAGCTATTTCCGAAAGCGATATAAAGAGTCAGCTGTTCAGGAAGTCAATATAATTTTTATGAAGGAAAACTCAACTGAATTTTTTTTTTTGAATTTCTATCTTCATAGAGGTAGCCCTCAGCAGTTGGGTCTAATCTATCCTCTATAAAGAAGGCACCAATAAATCAATCAACCACAACAAAAAGGCCACTTCCACTTTTTCCTGGAAATTCCAATGCAAATAGTATTGAAACCAAGTTGACTAAATAATTCATACTCTGCAGTGATCACCCAGGTAGTTCAGTTAGGGTTCACAGTCACAGGTATCTTGGACAATCTCGTATCTGTAATATCCACACATAAACATCTAAGGCAGACATCAGAGTCTCTTTATCAAGATTGAAATCCATGTGTCTCCTGAGCTCTAATACATTTCACCATCCACATTGTTTCATTGAGCCCTTTACTACAAATGGTTTTAGGCTCTGATGCAAGACAGGAATTTGAAGCATGCATTGGAGTATTTAATGGTGTTAATTTCTGGTGCACACGAACATCAACTTCACTCAACAATCCAATAATCTTGCAAAATAAAGAAAATACGCCAGAGAATGAAATGCAGCATGCAATATTTCAGGATTGCAAGCAAAGCAGTTCCACGGTCCTGCTGATGCCAGGGTAATAAAATAGATGCTGATTTACAGATCCTTAAAGATGTTACAATCAATAAAGAAAATAAAAGGAAGATAGGGTGCTTTCAGTTCTAAGAATTGTTCTAACTTTTACATTCAAACATGTTTATTTGGCTACTTAAAGCCCTCAGATGCGTCCCACGTTAATTTCAAATGAACATCTGATTGTAACAAACGAAATATAGTCTGTGGTGTCTTTTTTTTTTTTTTGGTTTTGGTTTTGGTTTGTTTTTTGTTTCAACCGGAAGGCACAGATTTAAATGATTCCTACCTGGAAATATGGATGGTCTCTTCTTTGGGCGTCTCAGTTGAATGGGATCCAAGTTCTTAATGTTCCTTTGAAGTCTTCCTCTAATGTCATTTCCTATGAGCAGTTCGGGTGGCAGGCTGCTCCGTCTTGATGATTTATGATCATTTTGAGACGAATTTAGTTTGTTCTTCGTTCTGGAATATAAATTGCTGTCATCAACTGCCATTGTAGGAGACACATTGGAGACTCTGAACAAAAATCCAAAATGCCAAACCCAGTGGCAGCTACTGCCACAGCTGCCGCCGCCCCAGACTCGGATGTTCTCATGCTTTGCCCTGCACTTGTTTGGGAAGCTTAGCAAGTTGATAGGCGTGGACTTGAACAGGTGTAGAATTACTGAGTGGCCCCTCCTTTTCCCAGTTAATAGCACAGGCGAGGAGAGATCAAAAAAAAAAAAAAAATCATTAGGTGTAGAACACTGGGGCATTTGAACAGATGTGACTCAGGGCCCGTGCTCTAGTGGGTGGTAATAAAAGCGGTGTCATGGTTGCCGCGTGAAATTTCTGCTTTATTGGTGCAATGCCATAAAGCAAACACAACTCACTATTCAAGAGAGAAAGCCTGTGCACGTTGCAAGTTTAATTTTTCTGATTATCTCCCAAAGTCTTAGAGATTTTAAACAGTTTGGGGGAAGCATTTTCACATTCCCTCATAGCTTCATGTTTATAACTACATAGACACACAGAACAAACATCCTTCTTGATTCAAGTTCTTATTTGGCCAGCTGCCAACTGGAAGTTAGCTGGAAGAGGGAGATGAGAGATGCTGGTGATGACCAGAAAGGAACCGGTTGTGGGCGTGTGTCAGGCAGCACTGCCGGGAACCCACTCTGCACCTGACCCACCCCTTCCATCCTGTGCCCCACCTGGCAGATGGCTTCTCCAGAAGTTCCCACTGTCTGGCCAGGAAGTCAGAGGTCTAGCAAACAAGCGTAAGCCATAGGAGTGACCTCCACTCACGAATAAAAAGTAAATGTTTTTAACCCTCGTGGGGATTCTGCCTAGCTTTCTACTAAAATGGCCAGTGGGTTTGGTGGTCTGAGAAACACCAGTATTTCCTCACTAAAGATTCCTGCTTGACTTGTCACATATTTTCTTTCTTTCTCTTCCTGATTTTGCTTTCTGTCCTTTGTTCCCGTCCCCCTTGCTCTATTTATGTGGAAATGTCCTGCACTCTTTTCTTTGTGCAGAAATCATAGCTCTGTAATTTGTCCTCCCAGCCATGCCCCTGGACTGTGTCGATCAGGAATAAATCAATCTCTCTCTCTCTCTCTCTCTCCCTTTCCCTCCCTCTCTCTCTCTCACACACACAGACACACACACACACCCACACACACACCCCTCTTGTGTTCTGTCTGGTTGCAGCGTGAGTCAGAAGATAAAGAAGATGAGATCTGCCTTTTCTCTTCCCAGTGCCTGGGACCAGTAGATACTTAACATTATAAAGGATTTAGGGGTCATTTCAGAAATCACTGTTTACTTTGTTTTCCTAGATGCCAAGGGAATTTTAAATTTAGGAGGTGAGTCTCTTTA